GCCTTGATGTGTAAGGCCTTCTTACTAAAAGAAGGGAAATCATGTCCATCGACGGTGATCAAGAGGACCTGCGGGCCGTACCACACGCCTGGGACAAAGATCAGTCGCTCTACAGCATCAGTAACCTCACGAACAGACTTGTATCTTCTTGATCCCAGGTTTGCCAGCAAGTCGGTGTCCTTCTGTGCCTCCTGCCGGTCATGCCACCTCTCCTGAACTAACTGTATGAACTCTAGACTCCGGGTTGTGCCCAGCGGTCGAAGTTTTGGCCGTAGCCGTGCTGCTGTACTAACCCATCTAACCATCTAGCTGCAGATCCCTCTAAGTAGGATGCAGCGACGATCACCTCCTCCTCGGGCCATGTGAGATTGTGCTTTACATACATTGGGACTGTCCTCAACCACGTGTCGAGGCTCTCTTCTTTTTTCTTGTCGCCAGAACAAAGGCTTGGGGACAGCCAATGGCATCTTCGGCATTCACTGCAGTTGTTGCCCAGACGCCTGTGGCTGCTGCACCAGTTGTGATAACGGTTGAACAGGTCGCTGCGGCGGTAGCTGCACCTGCTGCTGCTGCAGAACCTGTTGCAAAGGTTTGTGGACCTGCGGCTGGCCTGTAGCTGCAGCCGCTGGACGGGGGACCGAAAAAGACGGTCCGGAAGCCTGCCCACTACTACCTGCTAACATACCACTTGGTGGACTGATGCCAAACTGTAGGACAACAGGACCTCTCATAGGTGGCAGCGTCATAGATGGACCTGCCACCGCTGGAGGAGCTACAACAGTTTGCATTGGCCTACCTTCTTAAACCACCAGTACTTGGCCCAGCTATTGAAGCCGAGCCTGAATTTTCCCTGCGTGCCGATTTTCGCCGAGCCTGTGTCGTTTCGTGCAAAAACTCGGTACCGGTACCGGTATCGTGTTTTGGCACTTCGGCCTGAACGCAGGTCCATCTGAACGGACATCTTCCAGTCCGTTTGTATGGGCCGCCACGAAATGCACTTCGGTTCCGTACAGATGAGTGTTAGGTTTTTTTTTTTTTTTT